CTGCTTCCAGCACAAGTGGATAGCTTCGTTGGGTGCAGTCTCCACTGTGCTCTGCACCCCCCTGCCTCTTTGTTGATTTGCCCGGTTTTTGTTTTAGTTGGGTTCTTAGTAGGAAGGCCAGAAGTTACTAGTAGCAGCCAGCCAAACTAGTGGAATCCACGGCAGACTTACCAGGTACAAACCTTGGAAACAGGTGTTAACACACACACATCGATTGTTCATTAATTTACATTGACTGCTTACTTTGTCCTAGCAACGCCTAACAAAATGTCATGTGACGACTGCACAATACTAGCATACAGTATACAACAATGACAATGAATGGTAACGTCCTTAAACAGGCTGGATGCTACTTTCGGCCTACAACAACAAGTGTTGCTGCAGAACCTGCCAAACAGCTGGAACATGTAATTTTCAGTGTGCTCATGGCTTTCCGGACTCAGCACACACAGCGGTCAGCCGCTGTGTCCTTGTTGATTTCATCATCAGCAGCATAGTTTGGTGGATTTCCATGGGCACTTCATGAAGGTCGATGCATCGTGCATGCTGATAGATCTGCGCCATAGATCTTTGACATTCCAGTCGTCAAAACTACTCTGACCAAGTCAATGACCTCCTTCTCCCACACAGCACGGAAACCCGAGAAACCGTCAGAAGTCCATGGAGCCAAGTCTTGTAATTCTTGCTTGGATTGCAATCTGTGGATGCCGCAGCGTCTGGAGAAAATCTCAATGACACCAGGAAGTAGCACAGGAAGCTGCATCTCTGAGCTCCAGAGTCCACTGCAACCGCACCAAAATCCAAATCCAGTGTCCCCCGAAACCACATGGGAGATGAATCACAAAGTCTCTGCGCCACTAAGTGACGTTCCGATGCCCAGGCTTTGAAAGCGAAAGGACAACCGTTGGTGGCTGTTCAGTGAACCGGTCGCTCGTGTCGGTCACGACTATATGCGTCGTGTTCAGGTTCAAACAGCTCAGCTGTTGGTCGTAGAAACTCGTTGGTTGATCAAGTGCAACAAACTTTGCCGATAGAAACTCCGACAGTTCGCCGCAATGCGCCGACTCTCCACCTGCGGTCAGAGAGCTGGGCGTTGGGCGGGCGGATGGAGTCGGGCCGGCTGGTGGATCTGACCATCGATTTCACCAAGTACGGAAATCTAACCATGAAACTATATGCGTTGATTGGCTATAGGCTATATGGGTCTTTGGATTCTCATGTTGCATTTGTGTCAGTCTCGACATGAAGCCTTAAAGCCCCAAATGCCAAATGGACGACACCCTCGGTTGGACATCCGACCTAAAATGCCACTCTGACCAGCGTTCGGTCTGACCGGCCATTTGGGTTCCCCACCAACCTGGCACCCCAAAAACGAAAGAATCATGCTCCCAATGAACAACAACCATAAGACTATACATAAAACTCATAGATTCGATGTTTCAAGTTTCAAGTCTCTGACACTGTTTGAAAAATTATAGACTCCAAAGAACTGCAATGGTCAAACTTCAGACCTGTCAAAAAAGGACTCTCCCGTGCCACTCTTGTTCCCGGCCCCACGGACCACACCCACCGCGGACGTCCTTCACCTCCGCCGTTGAACCATGTTGAACCTCCGGTCGCAGCGGTACCGGTCGTCGCCTGCATGCGAGCGCTCACCGCGCGGAGGTCCACGGTCTCCACGAGGCGCAGGAGCTCCGTCAGCGACGCGAAGGGCACCACGTGCGGCCAACGGTGCACCTGGACGCGCTCGGTGCGGTGGTGGCCGAGGGCACAAAACCGAAAGGAAGACAACGGGGTTTTGCGATGTTTTGAGTGAGTCTGGTGGAAAAACACGAAAGGGTGAGGAAACTGCGAAGGGAGACTATGAGGATTAAACATCTGGACACCTGATGGGAAGATTTGTTACATGAACATGATTCATGATGGCCTTTGACAGTTGGGTTTGCACAATAGTCCTCTTTCAATACATGAGTAATTTTTGCGTGTCCATAAACTATACTCCCTGCTCCAAAAAATGACAGAACAAATTTATTATATCCGAACACAAATGCCAAGAATGTCTGCATCAAAGCTTCCCTTTCGGTTTCTCTGGGAACAGCATCACCCGATTCCCAACATCGTCCCTCTTCAGTTCCCATCCAACGTCCCCTCCGGGCCAGCCGGTCAGTCGCCTCGGCCAGCGGTAGCCAGAACTTCAAGTGTTCCGGCGGATGCCTCGGGCCCAGCGAGTGCACCGCGCGGGCGTCCAAAACGTGATGCAAAGATCACCCGTGATATAATTGCCTAATATGGCCTATCTCGACCACACCGACTTTGTTTTTTCTCTGATAAAATGGAGATATGTAAATTTGCTGCATCTGACTGCATCTGAGATGCTCTAAGGGATTGTAAAAGGGTGGGAACTTCCAAGTGTCTGCTGCGTGGAACACCGCCGCCTTCGCTTGCCGACATCGAAAGAACACAAGGTGCAGACCACGCAATGGCTCATATAGATCTACAATGATGCCTCTTGGCAGCTTCGCTGATGTTAAACACGCAAACACACCCAAACTACTGTAACTCTCTCTCATTCTCTCTCTTGGAAAACAACCCAGTGCTTTGGCTCCGATCATCTCAGCTGAGCAATACTCGTTGATTCAGATCCAAAGCGCTTAAGGCTCCGCCGCTCTTTTACACGACGACGCGTGCGCTCTGGCGCTCGGACCGTCCTGGTCCTGTTGCTTGCTCTCGGGCGGCCTGCAGGGAGAAATTCGGGTCAGAGATATGGTGTCAGATGCCATTTTCGGCAGGAAAACGTTCCTCTTCACAAACGAGTGTTGATGCTTCATCCAGGTGTGGTCATACCTGAGTCACACCATGAAGATGTCAAAATAGAACCCGATCCCTATATATAGTCCTATACGCATCAATATAGTACCGTACCATATAGTACCTATAATTATACGCCGACCTAATATAGGTGCCCACTTTTTCCTCCCCCACCGCACCCACCACCACCGACGCCCCGTATCCCGTCAGAAAACCTCTCGCGCCTGCGTCCGACATCGTGCTCGTTGTGCAGCTGACCCCACGAGGCGAACATGTGCTGCAGGAGTCGTTGATGCCACAGGATCTCCGGCGCCAAGACCGGCAGACCGATGCCATACACGTCCTGACGCCATCCGCCGGATGCAGATCACGCGAGGCGGACAGGATGGAGAGGAGGCGGTTTTACGCGTGGTGTGGGTTGGCCACAGGTGGTGCTTTTCCACACGTGGTCACCGTTCTCGCTCCGCAAAATCAGCGGAGGTGAAAAGCGGTGAAATCTGCGGTCTGAGGCGATGGCTCACAGGCGATCTCCCATTGTCGTCCATTTCTCGTGTCAGTTGGTTCAAGCAAGGGGTCTATGATCGGCTGGACCTATATAGCAACACACACGATCTTGAACATCCAAAGATCCTACGCCAAAACAAGTCTCGCCAAAAGCCAAGAGTCCCGCAAGAGCAACTGCGAAAACTCCGGAGCCACATAGACAGCACCTGGGTTGGGTTTAGTTAGCTTCAGTTCCAGCTGTTGGCAGTCAAGCTCAGCTCTGCTATCTTAGGGTTGCAAGAACTCCTTCAATGGCTTCATTGTTGTACAACACATGTTGTCAGCTTTTGTTGCAAGGTTTCTCAAAGTCTCATGACATAGCGTCAAACACTTCGAAGGAATCAAATAGAAATGGCACTCGAATCCGCATGGCAAACGGAACCAGTTGACCAGTTTACCTAAGACCATATGGAATCCCTGGCTGTGAACGTGCTAACAGGCTCTTGGGCTCTTGGGAGTTTTGTTGCAGCAACTTCCTCCCCTCAGTGAACTCCATTTTGGGACTCTACCTCCCAACACCACCTTCTTTATTTGTAGCAAAACACCACACAATCGTCTCACCAACTCATAAATCATCATATCACTCTCTCCCTAAACCTAAACCAAACCCACCATCTCCTTCTTCCGCCTCACCGTTCTTCCACCAAATCTTCCACCTTCCCCGCTCTGAAGGCACAGGAGTAGGACGCCATGGTCGCGAAGTTCAGGAAGACCTTCGTCGTCTCGGTGCCCCAGAAGTGCCACGTGGTCCTTCCGGTCGCTCCGCTCGGGCGCTTGGTGCCGTCGTGCACGTCGTGCGTCAGGCGTCGGAGCACCTCGGAAGTCTCGGTCAACCGGTCACGTGCGACGGTTGGAGAGGGTACCCGTCGAAGCACCGCCATGGCAGCCATGGCAGTAACTGGAACCCGGATGAGGAAAATGGAACTGGCGAAAAAGGTGAGATGCATAGACCTTGTTTTGGTGCACCGGTGCATATATAAAAAGATGGGTAGAGGAGGCAGCTTGGGAAAGTAGCTGTGCTTGCCTGTGTGGGTGAGCTTCAGTAGTAGAACTCATACGACATTGTTATCATCGCCATCATGACGATTGATCAACCTATCACGACTCAGGACCTATCATTTGTTGGTTCCGTTGTAGATGTTTTTCTTGCAATGTCTTGCTTTGGCGAGCCAGTTTCTCACATTCTGGCCCCTACAAGTACTAGCTCGGAGAAGAGGACAATCTGTTCACTGAACTGTGGTGGTCATATGTCCGGTCAAACCAACTGCTGTGAGGTCAATGCTTTGCAAGTCTTCGATCATGAAACCAACAGCAAGTGAACGTGTATACATAAAACAAACATAAACCATCCGGAATCAATCTAGCTCACCAAAAGGGCACTGCATGTCAATCCTTTTGTGTCGCAAGTAAACACAAAAGAGTCGCCGCTTTGATCTGTTCACAGTTCTACCAAAAGGTGCGGTGCCGACCGTTTCTCGCCTTCCATCCCTCCCTGCCAAGTCTCAGAAACCTCGAAACCTCGGGCCATCGGTCTCTCGCCGAGTGACCACATCGAAGACCCTGCCGGGGGCCAAGGCAAAGAACCCGCTCTTCAGCAGCACCACGCGGCGTTGAGCCGTTGACGGAGCTGCCGCCGCTGCCGCGTTTGCTGTTGCTTCGGCCCCTCCTCAGGCGGTGCGGAGCAGGTGCGAAGGTGAGTTTCGTGGGTGAAATCCATCCAACATCATACAACCAACGGGGCACGGCAAGTAGCATTGAGTTTGTGGCGAAGTGGTGTGTATGCTTTATCATTAGCCTCCTTTTGTTCAACAGCTGGGATTGGGAATGTGATGCAAACTCCGCTAAACTGGCTTCGCTGAGACCTCGCAGGATTGGTCCACGTCTCCATATAGACACGTTGGCGATGAGTTCCCAGCCTGGTGGTTGATAGAGCACCCCAGCTGAATCGGAGGTCCCCGAGGAAGGCACGAAGGGAATGGCGATGCCCATCCTCAGGTCGTCGAGCTCGTTGGGACCCCATCCGAAAGCGAAGGGAGCGAGGGGAAGGGACCTGCGAGCGTTCCTGGATGGATGGATCCATCGATCCAGGTTTAAATCCATCGAAATGTTCTGGGTGGTTTGGATCTGGATTTATCTGGATCCTCTGGGGACACATCAGATCCAAACACTCAGGACTCAGGATGCTTATTAGGTGGATCCAGGCTCCCATGTCACAAGGCCATACATCCAGCTGTTTGCCCCTTGCCCCGGGATGAGGCCCAAGGTGACGCCGCGACATCGACCGATCGACTCATCCAGGTCTCTGCCATTGGAGTTGAAGACCCAACACCTGGTCGATTGCGCTACACCGAGACACCGGTCGACCGCAACACCGCAGCCGTGGCCGTTTTTGGGGGTGTCAGTCCAGTAGGCTTTCTTTTGTCCGAGGAAGGACTAGTTACGTTGTGAAATGGCTTGATCATGCTTGATCTATTTTAGAATCCGCAGACGTAATTGCTAGGAAGTTCAGCTTTGGCAGACTTTATTGGACATGTATCCAGCATCTTTAAGAGTTGGTAGACACACTCAGCAAATGAATGAACAACCACGCCTAACCGCATCTTCTTTCACCAGAACAAGCTCAAACAACCATGTTCCAGCACCACCCAAAAGTTGGTTATTAGATGAAACATAGTTAGTCAAGGGGGTCTACAAACCACCCTTTAGGTGGTGCTGGTTCATTCTTTAGTTTTAAGCTTTCTTGCCACTATCCAGCGGCAAATGGGTGGAAGAAACGACCTGAACGAGCGCCTCAATGTTCACGCCGGCCGGCTCATGCACACCCAAGGTCTTCCAAAAGTCTGCGAAGTCCTGCCGAGACCAAATAACCCAATTGCGCCATCCATTGCCCCCCTCGCGCCCCCCTAATAGTTTCTGATTTGTTCTTCATGACCTGGGAGGGGTGTTTCCTGCATGACTTCATGGTCAATCCTAGACGCACCTTCCAATAGTCTTCCACACCCTGTGACGCTGCTTCCACGCTCAGCGAGTCGACTGCATCTCGGTCGACCTCCCTTCCTGCATCATGGTGGTGCGCCACGAGACCGGCACGTACTGCAGAAAGACCATGCCATACATGTGCAACCTGAAGCACCGGGGCAAAGTGCCAGACGATATGGACTGCCGGGCAAACACACGCCGTGTTTGGGTGGAAAAAGGTGACCCAATTCTGAAATCCAAGACGACATGGGTTCAAAAGCAATCAACTCAGGTCTCACTCATTGAACATATGTTTTTCTTAGATATATGGCTTTTGAAACTAAGTGTTGCTTCGACTGGGCATCCCCACGCTGGGATGTCACGGAAGAACCCAGCGCGGCGCAGCAAATGGCAGAAGAGCACGGTGTCTCCGCACAGCAAAAAGTCGGGACGAGATGCCTTAGCTGGGGCGACCTGGATCATCGACTACTGATCAATCAGAAAGAACCACATGGTCATGGTCACATTTCAGGAATGGAGAAACGCTAGAACGGCCAAATCAACATCTGTCAATCAGCTATGACAATCATATCGTCGCCACAAGCTAAACCAGAACAACAATAAAACAAAATAAAAACATGTAAAACCAACCACATATTGTTACATCTTGATCAACATGGGAAGACCTCGCTCAAAACCCACGGAAGTCACAGAAGGCCCCTTCAACCAGCCACTCTAATACCAGCAACCTACCAAACATGCACACCTCTGGAACGTGCCAACGAGCCGGCGACACCTGACCGACCTGGTGCTGCCCAAGTGACGTCCGGATCGGGATGTCCCTGGATGGCCTTCATCAAGCCCATGGCTTCGGAGTCCATGTCCGCCACCTGACGAGTCCGTGTCGCGCTCCAACGTCGGACGCGACCGGGGTCGAGCGGAACGAGACGTGAGACGTGAGACGTCGGTCAACGCCCGTGCCACGAGGGTCCAACGCGCAGAACTTCGACAGAGTCAACCGAGTGAGACGCACCTGCAATGCTTCATCACTCTCCAATGGCCACCTGGGCTGCAAAAGCGGTGCGGTGCTGGATCAACGGTAGACCATCTAGCGTCACACTCATATCGAACCCGAAAAAAAATGTTTGCCAGCGATAATCCATGCTAATCCATTCTCATGCCACCTTCCAGGAAAAAACAACAGGGGCAACAACCAACGACACAGGCGCACCGAAATGTACCCACAGACGCCTGGTCATCCACGCCCGAAACCAATCCTTGGCCACGTCATTCTCGCACGCGCTCGGCAGTCCTGCCCCCGCCGTCCGCAGTGGGTTGGAAGAGCGGAGCCGACGGAGCCAACGGAGCCGAGCGTCGACGGGACCGGACGACCCGGACCTTGGCAGGCGTAGAAGGCACCGGCGAAGATGGGCCGCAAGGAGACGCTCAAGGCCTTGGAAAGCCGCGAAATCCGACAGGGAGGAATTGGATCCAAGAGTGTATTGTAAATGTGCACCTATAAGATCTATAATATATATGGTGATTGAGAAAGAACATATAAATGTGGTATATAGAAAATATGGGATGAGAGAACTTTTGTTCAAACTCAGAAAGATGAGCCGGTCCTCTTCAGTCTTCAATTTTTGTCGAGGTAATGACTTAGAGATGAATCCTGGAAAGGTTCTGGTCGACATGTCGAGTCAGATTTTCACTCGCGTCCACCAGTCTACCCGACCCAAATCGGGAGCTCCAGCCATGGCCGCGGAGCTGATGCATTGCCAGACCTGATGGAGAAAAGAACGGAACGGCGAACGGCGACGGCTTCTGTGCAGGACAAAGAGAATTAACGTGGTCTAGAACTTTCGAGAGAGGATTCAATGAGCGGCTTTGGTGAAAGTGGAACACCATTTACAAGTATGAGGTTTTGTGAGAATCTTTTCAATGATGCACTGTTTTCATGCACGTTCATTGCATGCGATCCTCGCACCCACAAGGGCCAACGAACTTCCCTGGGGCCACAGCGGTGTTGGCAAAGGGCGCATGCTCGCCTGGGTCGCCGATGTAGATCGGGTCCAACCGAACTTGTGAGACCCACACCACAACCAGAACCTGAGAGCTTCCCTTGATCTGCTATGAAGTAGGTGCAACCAGGAATGCTCTGCCCAGACATGGGTCTGTTAGTATCTATAGTATCTCTACCCCCTCAATTTATAGAATCATACATAGTTCTTCAAACCTTGATGGCCAATTTCTCAGGACGCTTCATTCTCAATTTACCTTGAAAATACCATTCTGCCCATGCGCTGTCCAGCCACCACCATCAAACAGGTGGCTTCTTCGCCGTCCAGGCACCGATGAACAGCATCACCAACGCTGCCCCATCGCCGCGCGCCCAGCGCTGCGCGCGCGCAGGGCCCGCGGGCCAGCAGCCCTGTCACGGGTCAGCGGTCACCGCTGTCAGCGGACACGTGAAAATCGAAAAAGGGTTGCTGCTTTTTTGGTGCCAAGTGCCATTATATGCTAGAACTGGGTTAGTTACATGACCTACTATGCTGCGTTCTGTCTATCTTCCCCCAAAAAAATGCCAGAAACACCATGCATCCGCTTTTCACCACGTATGCCCTCTTTTCATCTCTTTTCTCCGCCTGGTGGAGCAATGGATCACAGGGCTGCCAACGCCGCGCCAAGTCCAAGGCCGTTGGCCTTGGGCGAATGCGACGGGGCATAGCACGCCGTAGACTCATCGCCAGTGGACGCAGCAGCTGGTGAAGGTCTGGCTTTGTTCCATTGTTCCATTGAAGTTCCTGGAATTACTTCCAAAGAAAAGCGAGTGACTATCTTAGACTCCATTGTTATGATTCGACTTCAAAGTCGTTTAAAAGAACATATAAAACTTTAGAAACCGTGGACCTGGCGTTGGTACGGTTTAAGTACAAATCAACTGAGTCGTCAACGGCGTCTCTGCCACTGCCGGCGGAGGTGTGCCGGTGATCACTTCCTCGAGGGTAGACTCTGGGCCACTGGGGCTGTCCAAATCTTTGATGAGACACTTTACGAGTAGCTTCTTGCTACGTACTAGTGGCGATGGCCTCCAACCTAACAGCGATGGCCTCCACCTAGTAGCTTCTTGCTCCCAAGAGAAAAAGACATGCCCAACACGAACCGGGGAACCTGTGAGATTTGCTAAGCCAAGCATATTTGCCCAAGCATGGCACCTCAGTCTTCAGAAAGAGCTCCTTGATCTTTCCAGGCAAGTTCGCTGGCCACACGCTGCTGGAGACCAAGTCCAAGGTTGAATGATCACCTCGAATCGATGGGCTTTTGGCTTTTGATGGAAGTGGTGTGGTGGAGCATCTGGTCCACGCTGTTGGACAGCCGGTCTGGTATGGACAGCTGGTCTTCTTCGTTTCAGACTCCGGCTGTCCATGGACCTTCAGCTCCAGTGCTGGCTTGGAACTTCGGCTCCAAGGACGATCCTGCCGAGAGGCCCAGCAAGGATCGTGCGTAGTGGAGGCTCACGAAGATGTACTGGGCAAGAAACCACGAAAAAAGCGGTGCCACTTAAGCTGGGCAAGAAGCCTTTTGACGTTCAATCAGTCTTAAAGGCATCCAATCCTAATGCAGTTCGCAAGAAAGACAAGAACGAAGAAAGGTTGAAGCCAGTGCTGCTCAATGTTCAGATTCTCATATAAGCGCAAAGTAAGTTCTAGCACTCCACCAGATTCTCAAAGTAATTATAGCACAGTGGAAAACTCATTCAGATTGGCGATTCCACCTATGATTACGCATGAGTTTTCTTAAAAGTGCGCACTCTGAGTCGAGCGACCTCTATACCTCATCATCTACTTCTACTGCCACTGCACCAAGGCCTAGGCCGACATGTCGTTCTCACCGGCTCGCTCGTGTCGGTCTCGGCGCCTGAAGGCTTTGTTCCGCTTCGGCCTCCGAAGGCTCGGCGGCCGAGTTCATGAGCCAGGCCAACTCGTTGAAGGCCAAGAGGAAGAGCACGGTGATGCAGCCGTACAAGCAGAACGCATGGCCTCGCACGGTCTGGGAGTGAAGTCTTTGTGCGGCAAAAGGCGGGAGGGCCACATATAGCGGAGAAACATAAACCCTGGAAGTAAAAGACAAGTTTTAACGATTTGGTTTGGTAGTGTAAAATCCTTCGTAAAACCATGGTTGTTCAGCAAAGGCTATTTAAAACATGGTGGTTCGACTTCTGTCAGACAAAGCGAGACAGGAGCTCCTGCTCTCGGTCGAACATATATTAACATTCAGCATTCAGATGCATTCAGATGCATTCAATATATCCCATACACTCCATGTATGGAATATAATATGCCTACATTGACCCCCAAACCACCCTAATGTGTACCGGTATACTTGCTATACCCTTTGGAGTGTCAGACCCAGGGAAGCTGCACTGCCCGTGACCTCCTTAAACCGGCCCTAGCCGACACCGGCCTTCTTTCACCGTGACCTCATAGGAGGCATTGATCCACCATCCTAACAAAGGCTGGAACGACCGGACGACCGACGAGGAGACGAGACGATCGTTCGTCCCACTTTCGTCCCCTGGTCCCAACTGAGTCGACTGGGAGTGGGCCCCAAAACGACCGAAGTACACGTGGTTTTTCGGTCTGGTCTTGGTGTTGTTCTTGTTCACTTTTAATTCCCCCATGTATGAGGACAGTCTTATAAGGATTAGTCTCAGGTTAGGAATTAATATTAGCATCAGCAACAAAAGGATCTCAAAAAGCTGGCTCATGTTCGTTTCAGGTCTTGTACAAACTCTCAGTCTTTTGAGGTTTATATCTGTTTTCCTCTTGAAAGTCATCTTTTCAGGTCATCTTTTGGGGTTTGGGGACGACAGGATCCTGAGGAGTCCACGACCCGATTCGGGTCAAACCAGCCAGTGCATCGACGCGAGCTTCCGAGCGTCTTAAGGAGTCCATGGCTTCATAGTCGGCCTCCGGCTTTTCGCCTGGCCGCTCAAGCGCAGCCGCCCGCTGGAGCGCAGCTCGGTGTTGGAAGGGAACCGCTTCTGAATTGAGGTGTCGAATGGCTTTGGCGTTCATTTGGGAATGATGGAACCAAAGCATCTGCCGATGGCTGCATTTTAAAAGGGTTCGAGACCCGCCAGGCCGGACCACAAAAAGCAAAAGACATGACATGAAAACAAAAACACCCGCAGCCTGTCCATGCCAAGAGGGATGCAACATCCTGCCATCAGAGGCGTTTGGTTTCGTTCGGCCGTTTTGTATTCGACGTCGCCCACCGTTTCGCTCATGACCTGTTGTTTCCTTCGCGGCCCATTTTTTCACGTGGGTTTCACGCAGTCCTTCCTGGCTTGGCAGGATGGCTCCAGCTCCTGGTTTCGAGATCTGAAGCACATCCGTGGCCTTCCTTCGAACCCCCTCGAAGGAAGAGGGTGTAGAAGCCCTTCACAGAAGAATTCAATATCTGCTCAAATATCGTGTATTGAACAATCTGCCAGTCTTTTTCTACCCTGATTCGTTGTACAACCAGTGTGTGAGGAATTGTCCAACTCTCCATGTGCTTATGCCTTATGCTAGTCTGGACCCAAACGGGGGCAAAACTGCTGTCTCAATCCCTTCACGCTGGGCCAATGACCACGGTGCTGGGCCGATACTGGGCCAAAGAAGTCTCATGCAGGTGAGACTTAACTGGTCCAGCATGAGAACACCTCTCTCTGTTTTCAGAAAACGTGCCGTCATCTCCTCGATCAACTTCACGATGGGAGGAGGAAGTGGCCGGATTTGCCTCAGTCACTTTAAACAAAGGAGAGAAGAAGTGAGCCAGTTGCCCCAGTTGGCCAACACCCTCCCATCCTCTCATGTTCCTTCCTCAGTTCCTCAGTTCCTCATCCCAATCAGCTTGCCAGAGGTACTCCGGAAGTCCACTGAGCAGTGCCAACTCGGACCACTGTGGCGCAAAGGCCGCGCCACGGCAGTCCAACCAGTCCACCGCGGTCACGGCGGTACGCACCGTCGATGCCAGAAGGCCTCGAGCGATCCGAGGCCTGGTGAACGTCTGGTGAATATTTCTTCCCCAAAAAAAGAGGGGAGCGGAAATGGGTATCTGGGAGTCATTCACAAGAATTGTGTGTGTGTGTGTTTTTTTCTTTACTTGTGGGTGGTAGATGGTCGTAGGTATGTTCAAAGGATCCATCTGGAATCTGGATATGACATGAATGGATGGTTGATCAGGATGGTTGATCACGGCAGCCCCGGCGACACCGCCTCGTGTCACCGAGCTTCGGAAAGAAAATTCCGGATGGTCTTCAACAACTCTGAGGCTGACGAACGTCCGTGACGAAAAGGATTCCGGGCATGAGGATGGCCGGATCATGCTGGGTTTCCTTTGGAATCCAAAACGCGATGGGCCGGTTCCATCGGTTTGCTTTTCGCGTGGGTCTGTGGCCTCGGTGGGTTCGTTTGAACGAACACACCCTGCTTCTCGCCGCTCTCGCCCCCCCCCTCCGCGGTCGGTGGCCGTCGGGCGGCCTGGAGGATGTGTGACCAAAAGGATGGCCGTCCATATCGCTCCACCCAGGCCACCCCGTGTGATCGCATCCATGCGACCAGCTGTGACGTTTAAGAGTGCTCGGGGACACTGGAAGCCATGACCGGATGGAGACAACTGGAAGTGAAACCTAACTTAGCTGGCTTTGATCATGGGTCTGGTTTCCATGATTGAACCAAATCCAGCTGCAGGAACGATCCAAGTGTTTCACACTCCGCGGCCGGATCATGCGTACCCTTCAGTTTCAGACATGCTCAGACAGAAGCGAGGTTCCGCAAGCCTACGACGTTCTGCCTACGATGCCGACTTGGGTCGCGTGCCTCGACTTTGGCAGAAACACCCATGCCTCAAGCTCGTTCCCTATCCCAATCTTGTTATTTATGAATATGACGTCACTTCACAGCTAAGAGAATGTGATGCATAGCGGACAAACACCTTTTTCCCCATTACAACTTGAGGCTTCTTTCTTCAAGTTCCCGCTCCTTGGTGGCCGAAGTGGCAACCGGCGTTCGCGTTCGCGACTCGACCGCGAGGGTAGTGGGACGCAAAGAAAGTGGACTCTTGAGGGGAAAGAGGTCGATCTTTTTTGCAAGAACTTTCTAAGGGCATCCCATAGGAAAGGCATCAGAAAGGCATGATATCTGCTCAAGAATACCTGTTCTTGCTCATGGCACCCGCCCCCGCCAAAAAATACTGAGATTCCCAAATGATCGCAAACATATAAAAAAGACAAAAGGAATCTGATCAATTCAGATCCCCACTGAGTTTGTGCTTTTTGAGTTTGGACCCCAAGGCCTCACATCGATTCTGGGACCTTTCGCCGTGGTGGGGGTTCTGAGCTCAGATCCAGCAGGGGGTTCTGCACCTTGATGCTGATCACCAGCTCCTGCGGTGCCACACGGTGCAGCGACCGGCGACGACCGGTGACGACCGGCGAGGACGTCCAGTGACGTGTCTGTTGGGCCAAAACGAGCAATCGCTCGGCTCGGTGGAGGCTTGGTCTACGAGCGGCTCGGCAGGCATCTGAGAGGCTCTACGTCCGATCTTCTCATTTCGAAAAAGGTCTGAAAGAGTCTTGGTCCTGAAAGGGGCCAAGACTAAAGTCAGCCATCAGAAGTGGCCCATAAATCAGAAATCACTCGACCCATCAGCCAAGGATATGAAGTCTGAAGCGCACACGGTGCGAGCCTGCTTGTCCTCCAGTTGTTCTTCGATTTTACAGAACTCCGGCCTCAGTTCGACTGAGGCAATGTGCCAAATCCGAAGAGCTGCAAATTCGCTGGCAGAAACTTCGCTTCTTTCCCTGAAGAAACTTCGCTGCTGCCTGTCATGCTCTGCAGAAGCGTTCTTTTGGTTAAATCTGGGACCTAAACTGGAACGAACTCCAAAGGAGAGAGGGAGGGAGCGAGAGAGAGAGAGAGAGAAAGATTCCTCCTTCGTTCTCTCGAAGTTACGGCGATTTTTCAGGGAAGACCTATACTCCTGTCACAACGCTGAGCTTCCCACAGGCCTTTGGCCGAGTTCCCATCCAGCTCGGTTCGACTCGGGCCCTGAGGACCATGGACGCGACGACGCGCGGCTGGAGCCCTGGGTGGTATGGTGGGCACTTGTCGCTGAGGGTGGCCTGGGACTGCTGGACTGCTGGATGGAAGATAAGGAAAGATGATCCACTTCGGTGGAAGAATCACGTGCTGCAGGCACACATCGAACGAATGGAACATCGAACAGCCCATCCTCTACCACAGAGTGGCATCGGACGCATCCATGTTTGCCATCATAGTCAAGTAAGCATGGTAAGCAAACCTGAAATCACCTGTGTCTTAAGTATAATTACCTGATTATCATTCAAATTTAAAGCAACATGTTTGTTCCTGCCTATATATAGTTCCACTGTGAACTTGACTTCGCAGGGTTGCGTGCACCGGAAACCTCCAGGGGCACCCGTCCTCACTTGGGGTCGATCCTTCGGACCGTCGGACCGTCGGTCTCCGGGGCATCCGGGCGCGGGTGGCCGAGCCCACGCTGAGCGTCAAGTTCAAGCTGTACTTGCCGCCCGGGCTCCTCCGACCGGAGACCGGTGGAGCTATCGACGTGACGGTGTGGGCCTAAGGCGCTCAGCAAAAGCACAGCTTGAGAGCTCCGGAAATCGCCCGTTTTCGGGGAAACGGTGCCCGAAGCAGTGCGAAGGAGCGGAGCTGGGGAGCTGGGTGGTCTGGTGTTCTTCGCCCGGCTTCTCCTCACATAGAGGCCACAGTAGCCACTCTTGCTTCCTTCCAGGCCGTTGGGATAGAACCTGAGATCCCAAGTTCAAGATCAAAATGACTGGGGGAACTCAGTCACCAAAGTCCCCAATATTCTTTGAAGAATTCCGTCTGATCACGGAGAAGAACCATGAGAACATGCATGTCTTTCAATCGGGATCCACCTGGTGGTTTTGGCTCACCAGGCGTTGCTTGATCGCGGCTCAGCCGCTCCATGTGCATGTTCCGCACGGCGGCCACGGAGAAGGAGGGGCTGCACACGTACTGTCCGCGCGGCACCTGAAGGAACGCAACGCGGCACCGACCGCGGTCGCAGAACCGGGTGGGTGTCCTATAGGAGTTGGAGTTGGAGTCGAGTCGAGCGAAATGGGATGGGTTGAAACAGGGGGAGGTTGACATTGTTGTTGAAAATGTCGATCGGAAACATTTGGAAACCACTGGCTTATAGGAGGCAAATTATGTTTCAAAGCAGTTCAGATCATGCGCTCTCAGAAAAATTGCCTTGACACTCACTCGAATCACTCTGTTTCTCTGCACATCTATGCAATGTATGTTTTTGTTTGGGGGATTGCATCTCTTCACAAGCTACTAGTCAACCACTCACCATGTGTCAAACACCTGTGTCAGCTTCTGCACCTTTCACTCACCTTTCAGCACCTTGATCGTTGGGACGTTTCAGAGCGACCCAGATTGGCCGAACTCAGAGAGACCTAAGTGAGTGTTGTCCACCTACAGTATCTCCAAGTCACATCACCCTAAACCCTGCTTGGTGTCTTTCTCCAAGTCACATCTCGCATCTTCTGCAGGATGTTGTGGATCGTCCATTCCACCTCGCCACGACGTCTTGGGCTCCGCTCCAACCGCGCGCACGCCGCTGCGGCAGGGCACGCGGACGTTTGGGTGAGAACGGAGAAGGGTTGGTCCCAAAAAGACGCGCTTGCGCAGGCGACCAAGGGCTGGGCAGCGGCGGCACCGCGCGCGCTGCAGGGAGTCGACGGTGGAACTGTGAAAACCCGGAGATGGGGAGTTCCGAAGGGAGTTCCCAAAGAGAACCCCGGTGCCGCGTTGGCATCGAGCGGTGGCCACCGCCTGTCACCAACAGAAGCCTCCAAGAAAGACGCGCCAAGAAGCTGTTTGGTGCAGCAACCAACGAAACCGGTGCAACCAACCCACCGAAGAGAGGCCGTGGCGGTGCCTTGGCATTCCATCCCCCGTCTGAGGTGCCCGATCCGAATCCAAGTCCCGGTTCCTCAGCACCGAGGCCTCGCTGTGCGGCTGTTCCCGTTCGGTTTCGGTCCGATGCTTCGATGCATATCATGAATCAAAGCATAATCAAAGCAACATCATACATGCATGATCTTACAATGGATACATGCAATGATCATCAATGATCTCAGTTTATGTTCGATGCCGCCGTCATCTTCTGTTAAGTTGCTTGGGGACCGTCGTTCGTTGTTTCGGGGGAATTAGCGCAGAAGAAGTGTTTTTGACCCTTGCGGATCTCTGAAGAATTGGTTGTTCAGAACTAAGAGAGGGTATAAAGCACGTCTTGTTTTTTGCGTTGTTAGTGGCAACATACGAGACCCAAAGGACTATTTCATAGGTTTGTTTGTCTCGTGAGTGGTGAGTGAACGGCCATGGTAAAAGCTTTGTAGACGTTGTAAACCTTTGTAAGTTTGTTTGTAATTCAACAACTCTGTCAACTCTCTGCAAAAGTTGCAAACTTTGTGCAAATTCTTAAGACTTTGTGAAAGTTTTGTAAACTTTGTATAACTTTGTAAAAATAAAAACTTTGTAAACGTTCTAAAAACTGTGTAAACGTTGCTCTAACTTTGAAGAATAATTTGAAGAACTCCAAAACTTCGTAAAAGGTTTGTAAACCGTTTTGCAAAGTTTGCGAATTTTACGTCTTAATAAAGTTTTACCAAGTTCTTACAAAGTTTTACAAGTTTAAGGTTGACACAGCTTACAAAGTTTGACAAAGTTTAAACATATTTTACAAAGTCTACAAAGTGTTGACAAAGTTTACCAAGTTTATACCAAGTTCACTACGTTTTTACAAAGCTTTCAAAGTTGGTACAAAGTTTTCAAAGTTTTACACAGATTTTATGAAGTTTGCAAAGTTTTACAACCGTTTACCAAGTTTACAAAGTTTTACAAAGTTTACAATATTTTAACACAGTTTACAAAGTTTTGAACAATTTCCAAAGCTTACCCAGTTTACAAAGGTTTTACCATTAAAAAAGACGTATTGAAAGTTTTACAATGTTGCTGCAATGTTGACAAAGTTTTTGCAAAGTTTACACAGTTTTGCAAAGTATTGAAAGTTTACAAAGCTTGTACAAAGTTTATACTTTTTACAAAGATTGCAAATTTTACAATGTTACATGGAGTTTTTACAAAGTGTACAAACATTTGCAAACTTTACACAGTATTTACATAGTTTACAAAGCTTTCACAAAATTTGCAAAGTTTATACAGTTTACACAGTTTTTGCACAGTATTGCAAGTTTACAACGATTTTACAAAGCTTTGGAATTTGACAAAGTTCTTGCAAAGTTCGGAATTTACACAGTTTTTCAATTTTTACAGAGTCTACAAAGTCTCACAAAGTGTTTACAACGTTTTCAAAGTTTTTACAAAGTTTACAAAGTTGTACAACGTTTTTACAAAGTTTACAACAGCTTTTTCAAGTTTACAAAGTTTTTACAACGTTTACAAAGTTTTGACAAAGTTTACAAAGTTTTTACAAAGTTTACAAAGTTTTTACACAGTTTACAAGGTTTTTACAAAGTTTACAAAAGTTTTTCATGCTTGCAAAGTTTTTACAAAGTTTACAAAGTTTTTACAACGTTTACAAAGTTTTTACAAAGTTTGCAAATGGCTGGTGAAAAATACTTATGTTTACAACAAAAGACATGAAAAA